GTTACCAACATGGGCCACGACCATTATGTTTTGGACTGTCTATGCTCAAATGACAACATTTTCAGTGTCACAAGCTACAACAATGGACCGTCACATCGGAAATTTCGAAATTCCTCCGGCCTCATTGACACTTTTCTTCGTCGGAAGTATCCTCTTAACGTGCATATTCTACGACCGTGCCGTCGTACCGGTTTGTCGACGTGTCCTAAACAATCCTCACGGTACAACCCCGTTGCAACGTATTGCAGTTGGATTAATACTTTCAATTATAGCCATGGTTGCTGCTGCTTTAACTGAAGTGAAGAGATTGAATGTTGCACATTTGCATGGATTGACCAATGATGCAAATGCCAAGGTTCCTTTGAGTGTTTTTTGGTTAGTTCCGCAATTCTTGCTAGTAGGGGCAGGTGAGGCATTTACTTATATCGGACAACTTGATTTCTTCCTAAGGGAGTGTCCTAAAGGAATGAAGACAATGAGCACGGGGTTATTCTTGAGTACACTTTCATTAGGGTTTTTCTTTAGTTCTATTTTGGTGACTATAGTGCATAAGGTGACAGTGAAAAACCCATGGTTAGCTGATAATTTAAACCAAGGAAGACTCTATGATTTCTATTGGCTATTGGCAACGTTGAGTGTGTTGAATTTGATGATTTTCTTGTTTATTTCAAGACGGTATGTGTACAAGGAGAAGAGACTTGCTGAATGTGGGATTGAAATGGAGGATTCAGAGCCAGCTTGCCACTAAATTGCACAAGGCAATTATGTTCTTTAAAGCAAATTAGGTTTTTTATTTTATTTTATTTTTATGGTTTTGGGTTTTTCTCTTTTTTGCTTCTTTTAACTTTATTGGAAAGGTTACGTGTGTATGGTAACCTAGATGTATATGTACAAGAAATGGGAAAGAGCCTAGTTAATGAAAAATTATAGAGCTCTTACTCTTCCTTTCTCCCTTGTATCTGTAGAATAACCCAAATAATATAAATCAAATCTCAATGCAAGAGCCAGCTTCCCACAGAAAGTATCGTTTTCTTCTAGTATAATTCTTATTATTGTTTTCCTTCTTTTTTTCCCCTTATGTTTTACTTTTCCTGTATTATCATAACTATTAGATCAGTGATAATCAAACTATTCAATGTTTTATTATATTAGTCTTTGATTTACTTTGTTAGGTGTAAAAATAATAACAAAAAAGCTAGATCTTGGAAACTGTACAGAACTTAAGTTTAGAAGAAAAAAAAAACAATATAGATATTTAAGTAATTTTTATGATTAATTTGTTCAGGTTCTAATTTGCACGAGTGGTACGCATAATATCACATGCCATTTTGGCTAAACAAGAAAAGATGAAATAATATCGGGAACATGAATTTCTAAGGCAAAAAGGTGGACCAAATAAATAATAAATTACCTTGAATTTCGAGTTCCCACATGATTCACGTGCCCTTATTTTCCACCCATAGTTTTTCTTTCTGTGCTTTGTTCTATCGATTGGCACATAACCAACTATAGCTTAAATAATTCAGAAGTAATTCAAAAGACAAAAGAAAAACATAGCAAGTAATCTTTATATCCCAAATAGTGATTCAAAAAAAGTGTCTAATCAATGTAATTAAGCGACTATATAATAAGAATTTGAATACTTAAAAGTTAAAATTTTCTTGTAGTGACAATAAACATTATATGTGTTAAAAAAATCTGCTCAAAGTAACAATATAACATTTGAGATTATGGAAAAAGATCATGAGAAGGTTACGGAGGTGTGAAAGTTACAACTATAATAGTGAGATATAGTGGGGCTATCTACATAATGGAAAAGAATAGAGAGTTATATTTGATTAGTGAACATCCATATAAATATGTATTTCATAACAATATGATAATTTTATCTGAAAACTTAAGTTTTGTGCACCAACTTATCAAATTTCAACAATTTAGGATCTTGATTCTTAAAGGAACAGTTCAATAGTCAATTAGCTCAATGTTTTTATTGCAGCACAAGATTCAAAACTTCGTCTTATGGTTATAGTCTTGCAGTTCATGCGACTCTATTTTCTGTTAACTATGTAATAACAGGGTCGATTCCGGGATTACGGCCTCGATATTCTCGAAGGCAGGCGTTCTGACCTTGGGTTCTAGCCCGGTAGGATTTGGGGTCGATCTTCAGTCCTTTATTGCCATGTTCCAAGCTTGACTTATCATATCGTAGGCGAGCTCGATTTCGACCGTATATATGACTGTGTAGTAACCGTAAAGGGGAAAAACCACGTATAAGAATCTTAAACCAAAATCATTTTTTTCTGAACCAAAAATTCAAATTATACAACTATTATGACAACATGATCACATGTTACAAGCTCATGTCTTACGATCGTGATTTTTTATATGATTTTGGTCAATCCTCATCTCATGAACTATCTTTGGGGTTGAGTCAGGCCCAAGATCGATTTATCGAGACGAAAAGATCCGACCTTAGTTAGTCGGCTCACCTGGCATAAATCCTCATTAATTAAGCCCGATCAGTTCTGAATACCAAATGGTTAAATAAAAAAAAGAAGCAACTTGGTTTGGAAAAATCTGGACAACAAGATTCAATCTCAGAACAACTGCAACTTCAATTGGATTTTTATCGATCTCAATAAAAAACTACTACTACTAGGTACAGCAAATACTGCCAGAAACATGCATGTGTCGTGTTTGTCAAGTTGTTTATTAACACTGTTTTTGTAAAAATTTCCACTTTCCTAAACTGTGGGAAGCAAATCCGAGGGGTCTATATATATATATATATATATATATATATATATATATATTCCCCTTCTTACTGGTTCGGTCCCCTCACTCCCCGACGCCCCTCTCTGTCTTCTACTGCATTATTTCTTATTTTATGACATAAGATCCAGATATTTTGTACATATTTTAAATAAAAGAACAAGAGTATCCAGGAATAAAAAGAAAGGGAGTTTGGCGTAACTGGTAAAGTTGCTGACATGTGACCAGGAGGTCACGAGTTCGAGTTGTGAAAACAGCCTCTTGCAGAAATGCAGGATAAGGTTGCGTACAATAGACCTTTGGGTCCGACCCTTCCCCAGACCCAATGCATAGCAGAAGTTTAGTGCACGGGCTTCCCTTCAGTATCCAGGAATAAAAAAGAATCAAAGTGTTGCAGGTTACAGAGTTAATTATTTTTCACAAGTGGAGATTCCTATTCACTGAATCAACTAGCTACTGATATTTTTTGTACAACTGTAGTGATCTCTGGATGTTACAAGAGGTCTTATCCAGTTAAAAAAAAATATTCTATTGCCGTGTTCATCTCAACGTAATGTAGAGCAGCTGAGTCAGATTCATCTGAACCCAGCAAATTTATTAAAATTATCACAAATGGTAGGTCTGAACCGATAAATTTACCAATTGGGTTTATATCTTCTATCCGACTCTGCCTTTAATTTGTTATGCTTTTTGGTCAAATTAATTAATGAATAATGAAAGTATATTTGAACTTGTTAAGTGCTATTTTACACATAGATGCATAGTTATAGGCCCACGTCTTTATTCTGCTCCTTTACTTCGTTTTGCTTTCTGGTCCCTTTAATTCGTTACTTGAACTTTTTAAATGTTGTTCTACACATAGATGTATAGTTATAGGTCCAAATGTGTATATTCATCTGAATGTTTGTCCTGTGCCTTTAGTTCGTAATGCGTTTTTGGTCCCTCTAATTTGTTAATATGTGTTTCTAATTTGTTATGCTTTTTGATCATATTAATAAAAGTAATTCGTAAGAAAAGGAAGGAAAAAAGGGAATAAAGGACCTAGTAAGAAAAAGACTTTGCAGCAAATGTCTGTTAAAACCCAGAAACCACAAAATGCCTACATATCCCACATTTACCTCCTTGAATGAAACTTGAGAAAATGATACTGTATAACCGTTGTAAAAATAATAGCCGAAAAAATGTATAAAATTTATATTCTTTTATATATATATATATATACACATTTTGTATGTTATATACAAAAAATATACAAATTTTATACACTTTTTCGGTTACCAAATATAAATAGTTTCCGGCACGGGCTAAAAGTGATAATACCCCACCTTTCTGTAAAAATTGCACGGGGCGCCCTATTTGGTCGCCCCCATTTAACCTATACCCATTTTTTTAAAAAAGTTTTAATTTGTATCCACTTTTTAAACAACTTCAGCCCTTTTTCTCCTCCTCCTTCTCCTCCTTCGTTTTCTTCTTCTTCTTCTTTCTTCTGCTGCTGTTGGTGCTGCTATGAAACTTCAGTTCATGGGATGATTGCCATAAATATGTTTATTAGATTATTTAAAAATAAACTATATTACGTAAGTTAGTAGACAATAATTTGTGAATATTTCCATGTACGTAAGTTAGTAGACAATGATAATTCTGTTCTTTTGACGTTTATTGTTTCCAACATTTATGATTTAGATACTGTTGACAATCTGATTATTTATTTAGTATGTTAGAAAGTTTTTTCAAAAACTTCACCTTATATAGTGCTGAAGTTTTTATAAATGAACTAAATAACTTAAGCATCTTCTGTTAAAGTTTTTGAAAAAGCTTTATGACAAAACTAATGAATCCAGAACAAAAAAACTTCAGTTTTTAGTGCTGAAGTTTTTACAAATGAACTAATAACTTCAGCATCTTCTGCTGAAGTTTTTGAAAAAGTTTATCTAGGACAAAAAAACTTCAGCTTATTTAGTGCTGAAATTTTTATAATTGAACTAAATAACTTCGGCATCTTCTGTTGAAGTTTTTGAAAAATCTTAATGACAAAACTAATGAATCCAGGACAAAAAAAACTTCAGCTTATTTAGTGCAATTACAAACAAAAACTTCATCAAATAGAGAATAAAACTTCAGCTACTATGCTTAAGTTCAGCAATTACAAACAAAAACTTCAGCAAATAGAGAACAAAATTTCAGTTACTATGCTTAAGTTCAGCAATTACAAACAAAAGTTTCAGCACATTTGCTACTTCAGGACCGTCTACTAGAATGCTGAAGTTTTGCGTGATTGTCTTTGCTACTTCAGCCCTATATGCTGAATTTACGCGAAAAAGTGGATACGCTTGCAATTTTTTTTTTTGCAAAGTGGACACAAGTTAAAACGTGATCCAAAAAGCGGGTATAGATGCAAATGCCCACCTTTCTTTGCAGCATACTTGAACTTTTAAATAATTTTTTTAATATAGAAGTTGGTATTAAATTTAACTCATGGAAATACATAGAAAGAAAAATGTATTCCAATTGAGCAGCCATTGAACAGGTTGATTTTGACTAATTTGAGCAGCCATATATTCCAAATTATTTACCCATATGAAAACTTATCAAAACATAGAAAGAAAAATGTTGGGTTGATGGAATAGATAGAGTCATGATAAATCAAATTTAGAAAGAACGAATAAACAAAAGAAATATGATTTTGAGTCGGGCAGATTGGATTATAATCCAACGTTTAGTCCAAAAAAAATTTGTAGATACATTATCACCCAACTTGATTATTGGTGCTATACACTTAAACACCTATATTTAGGTTAACCCGCCCATTTAACACCTCATTTGATAAAAAAAGTGTAGGTTTAGGTCCACATATATTTATTGCAACGTTCATCTTGTCCCTTTACTTTTTTATGATTTATGTTAAAATTACTCTAATTCTGTTATGAAATAAAAGCAATTTAGTAAAACATGAATAAGAAATAAAGATAAAGAGAAAGGAAGAGATTTTCTTCTTCAATTGTGTGTATTTTCCTATCTATTACAAGGCCGTTATATAGGCATGAAAAGTGAAGAAAATATGTCATGAAATATGTCATTGAACATAGAAAATATGTCATTGAATATGTCATTAAGCATTTGACATGAAGATCATGGAGGAAGAGTAGACATCCACCATAATATGATATTTATCATAGCACTCCCCTTTGGATGTCCATAAATAATGTGCCTCGTTAAAACTTTATTAGGAAAAAACCCTATGGGAAAAAA